CAAAGGAAAAAAACCTCATTAATTTTTAAGACAACTCAGTGAAACTCCTCATGAGCAATGCCATTGCCATGGATATGTGTGAGCACATCATTTTGTGAGTTTTCTAGAGGGCCAGACTGTGTCTAATTTTCAGTATATATCAAAGCAAAACATGTTGCCTAATGAACTGGCATCTGTATGAACATCTGTAGCTGGGTTTCAAGTGTGTTTTTGTTTTTAAAAAGACAGTTCTTTGCAGCAAAGGAGTTCAACTCCAGATCACCCAGCCAGCCGTACCAGCTTGGGGAGTGCTGGTTCCTTTTACTAAGAGAACTAAGCATTTATTATATCACTAATGGACTGATTTTGCCCTATCTCCCTCTTTTTTTTAACATTAAAATGATGTCCTGTGATATTGCAGGTTTGAAAACATTGTAAATACAGGTCAGTTAATTCACAATAGCAAGCAATACCTCTTGTGAACTTGTTCAGTAACTTTGAAGACTCAGGTAGAGTTTGATTATATGCACAGCTCTTTTGATAGCTCTTCACATATTATTGAAACTTGATAAAAATGACAAGATGATCCAGACAGAGCTGTAGTTCATTTGAAAATATAAAGGACATCATGTCTTGTAGTTATTCATGTGGCCATGAATAAGTATGCCATGTAGGAGAAAATCTACTTGTGATGACAAATGGCTCAAAGGCCCTTTCCTCACTAAGTAAATGGAGCAGAAACCAGGGAAGCCCCAAATGACAGTGATGGAAATGGTTACAATGTTCCAGGGACAAAATAGCAACTGGAGCAAATGTAATTGAAGAGAACAAGAAGAGAGTCAGGGCCAGAAAATTTTTCTAAAAGAACCAGCAGAGTGGACGGAATTTAAGTAAAATCTCTACCCAATATTCCATTTAGATGGTATGTTTGTGTACATGAAGAAGAGGGGATGATTAACAATGATGTAGTAACTTGTGATAGGATGGAAGGAACATTGTGAAGACAAAATTCCTTTTAGCAGGACTTGATGTGGAGAAACTAATTATGAACAAACAGGAAAAGTTTTTGGAAATTGGGTTTGAAATTCATTATGGGCAAGGAGGACAGATGTAAGAGAGAGTTCACTGGAGATTGGTAGTGACAAAAGGGAAGACAAATGAGGGCAGGGTCCCTTTTCACAAGGAACATTTAATTTAGTTGAGAAAACACACACATAATAAGTTAAAGAATTTCTTTTTCATACTCACCCACATAAAAATTTGAGGCAGAAAAAAAGTTTGCTTAAATCCTGAAAAGTATACTTAGAAGTGAGAGTTTCTAGGCTGGTAGACCTGGACTGAATCAGGCTGTGTCAATACTAGTTGGGTAACTGCAACCAGTTTACTTAACCATCCTGAGCCTTAGATTCTTCAACATGAGTTTGGGAGGAATTAGTACTGACAGCAAAGGTTCATTGTGGAAATAGGAAGTATTCTATAAATACTTCTAAGTCAATAAATACTTCTAAGAAGAGGAGGATATCTTTTATGTTTTTCCCCAACTTTGTTGAGGTGTGATTGATAAGCGTTTACTTTTTTTGTGTGTGAAAACACATATGAGGGCTGGGGTTGTGGTTCAGTGGTAGAGTGCTTGCCTACCATGCAAGAGGCACTGGGTTCGATCCTCAGCACCACATGAAAATAAAATAAGGAAATAGTGTCCACCTATAAGTAAAAAAATAAATATTTTTTAAAAAAGAAAACACATATGATCATCCCCTTAGAAAAACTTCATATATGTTATATGTTATTATCAGCCATAGTCACCATCCTTATGTTGGAGCTCCACAATTTATTCATCTTACACTAGGCAGTTGGTACCCTCTGAACAATATTTGCCCATTTCCCCACTCCCCAGACCTGGAAACCACTGTTCTACTCTCTGTTTATATGGGTTTGACCTGCTTTTAAATACGACATGTAAGTAAGATCATGTGGCATTTGTCTTTCTATGTCTGGCTTATTTTATTTAGTATGGATGTCCTTTCAGTTCATCCATGTCATCATAAATGGCAGTATGTTTTTTCCTTAAAGCTGAATAATATTCTGTTGTGTTTGTCTACATGCACACGTGCATATACACACATATCACTTTTTTTTTTCAATCTGGCAATGAACACGTAGGTTGTTTCCATATCTTTTCCATTGTGAACAATGTGATCATAAACATGGGTGTACTGATATCTCTATGAGGTACTGATTTCATTTCTTTCTGATATGTAGTCAGAAGTGGGATTGCTGCATTATATAGTAGTTCTATATCACTGTCTAACATTATTTAAACTTGAAACAATGACAAAAAAATCCAGAGTGATGAACGGATAAAGAAAATGCCATCCTTATTTGTGTATGTGTGTGTGTATGTACATATGGAATGTTATTGAACCCTAAAGAAGAAAATGCTGCCATTTGTGACAACATGGATGACTTGTTTTAAGATGAACAAGTTGTTGAGCTCTACTGTGCAGCATGGTGAGCACAGTTAATAAAATTGCATTGTGTACCTGAAATATTCTAAGTAATATTTATTGGCTATCTCTTGTATGCCAGGCACTCTATATTTCTTCACTTAAATGTCATAACAAACTTTTGCTGTTGGTACTAATGTCCCCCAAATTCTTGTTGAGGAATCAAGGATGAGGATGGTTGAGTAACCTGGTTGAGGTTACACAGTGTTAACATAGCCTGATTAAATCTGCGACTTCCTGCTTTCAAACTCTTTATTTCTAAACATACTCTTCAGGATTTAAACAAATACTTTCTTCCTCAATTCAGCGTTTCTGTGTGTGAGTGGGAAAAAGCTTTTCTTTGATTTATTGTATGTGGGTTTTCTTCTCAGCTTAATTAAAATCTCCTTGTGGAAAGGGACCCTGCCCTCGTTCACATGAAGCAGAAGATTTTTGTTGCTGTATTGTGAGCTCTAAATTTTGTTTTATTAAAAAGACTTTCCTAACAACCAATAAAAAAAAAAAAAAAGATAAAAAAAAGACTTTCCTAAATATTTGATTTTGCTAAATAAGGTGGTACTTTTTTTGGTCTAATAATGAACCCCCCCCCACCCACCCACCGTGGATTTTGCAGCAAGTTGAAGATGGCCTGCATTTTCATGTTGCCTGCTTTCTCTTTTGCCTTTCATGTTGTCATTGAGATTAGAGGGCACTTTATGACCTTGAGTGGCATTTCTCATATTAGATTCTGAGTAAGGACAGAGTCACAGAGGTATCTTTTATTCAATACCTATATTGTCATTACATAAATTAAATGCTACCTAGAAAAATAGAGTCCATTTTACTTTCCTTAGAAAGAAACTATTTAGAATTTGTCAAGTGCTTTATACATAAATAACCCAGGGAAGTTGGTCACAAAGGACTTTCAAATACTCAAAAAAATTACTCTCCTCTATACCACCTTGACTATTCCATATCTGTGTTGAAATGTGGTTAGGGATCTAATGTTCCCCAGACCAGTGTCAAAGTCAAAACCCCTTTTGTAAGGAATATAAATCTCAGAATTTGAAATAGGTTTTGAAAATGTTTGGAGTTTTAATTTCATACTTGCCTAATTTTAATGTGGGTCATGAAAATGGAATGGCAGATGCAACTGGTAGTTGGAATAAATGGGACATCATTTACAGAAGAGTAAAAAGGTAACATTAGCAATATATTTTGAACCCATATGTAGAGAGAGGGGAAATAAATATTTTAAGTAAAGCTGCATTAGTTGGAGGTTAAGTGATATGTTATTAATTGAAACTCATTTTTATTAATTATTTATCTCAGACTGATTTTTAATTTCCTTGCCTTTGATTTTCTTTATCTGAACTATCTGCTCTGACTTTTAATGTCTTGCTCCTTTCTTCCTCAAGGTTCTTTGTATTTTTGTCTTACCAGTGCAATTGCTGGCAAGACTTGCCCCCAGTTGTGTTTCATCCTTTCTATTCTTTAAATTACAGTCTCCTTCCGCTGTACGTTGATGTCTCCTAAAGACGTTGAAGCTAATTTATAGTGATACTTCCATTGCCTCCAATTATTAAGGAGTGATAGGTGATGGTGAGCATGTTACAACAGAGTAAGCCTGTTGAAGTCAGTGCCCTCTTATTTGATGTTTATCCTCAATTTAATAAAGCTGATTGACTTATAAAATTTGCTTGGTAGGAAAAGTGTTTTCCAAGTAAATTAATTGCTCAATTATTTCATCGTAATTTGCCTACACAACTCTTTCTGTGGCTTTCAAGGTGATCCTCCTTTTAAGTAACAGATGGTTGATCACAACTTATATATGTCTATGCCTTAAGAAAGTACTGACACCCTTTAGAATACTGTGGCTATCAAACTGTGATACATCAGGATAATAACTACCAAGGAGTCTGTGTAAGGGGAACAGGCAGGTGAAGTTTGCTGACTCCATGAGAATTCAGAGCTGCACATTCTTTCTCTGTCTTCCAGATCAGTGTTATTGCTCATTGGAACCCTCCTCTCTGGTGGGTCTGTGAAGACAGTCTCATTTCTACTTTCCAGGCACTGTGACTGATAATTCATATCAGCCTTGGTGGAGGGTCCAACATGTGTATCCACCAAAAGGCCTTCCATGTTTCTTCTCACTCCCTAAATCCTTCCTGAGATCAACATTTGGGGTCATGGTTTGCAAACATTTAAAAGAATCAACTAAAGAAGAGCTGTGCTTGTAATTATTGTCACCAAGTCTTCATTGACCTTCTGTGTGCTGTGGGCTCCTAAGAATGAAAGTAGACTAAGTGTAGGAGAATGATTTGTAATCACATGCTGGTGTCCCAAATAACTGTTGCTGTTTCTAATCTGTAGCTTTATAGTGACTATGTGTCAAAAGAATAAATTTCTCAAATAAGTCAATCAACTAATAAGAATTAGTTGAGTTTCAATTTCCTAGCACTGAATTTCCAAATAATACTTAAAGTACTCATTTTTCCTCTCATATGTAGGTTCAAAATACATGGTTATTGTTACCTTTTTGCTCTTCTGTAAATGCTGTCCAATTATTCCAATTACTAGTTGCATCTGCCGTTCCATTTTCATGGTCCACATTAAAATTAGGCAAGTATAAAATTAAAATGGCAATAATTTTGGGTCATACTGAGATAGTGAACTACGTTGGCTTCTCAGGGTTCTTTTAGCCCTGTCCTGGAAGTAGTGAATAGGGACCGTGGTTTTCCTTATTTTATCTCCTCAAAGTAGCTGGTAGGTAGCTTCTTCTTGTGCACTATTTGTACCTAATTCCTAATGTGGGGATCTGTTATAAATAATTAGTTCTGTCTTACCTTCTGGATTGATAGAATGCTATCTTTTTTAGTGGCTGTTTGTCATTTTGTGATTTCTTCTATAGTTTCTGCACACTCCTCTTGAGTTACTGAACATCTCCATGTGTTTTTGGTGCTCTTTATCTTATGAGAGATATACTTTGTAAACCATTTAGTGATAAGGAAAATTGGGGTCTCATATAAAACTAACATTTATTGCTGTGTGCAACTTTGTTTTATTAGCTAATCAATGTGCTTACCCAGTGTAAAGTCTTCATGATTTCTCCTTAAGACCCAATCAGTAGTTTTCAGTTTTCTAAAAAGATTAATTTCAGAAGTTAAGAGGAGCTGACTGAATTTAGTTGATACTTTATCTCTGGCTGAAAAGATATTATTGCTAATAATGTAATATTTGAAAATTAGCACCAAAATAGTTTGCCTTACTGAATGTGTGAAAATAACAATAGTCATTCAATGTCAAAATGATATTTACTACCTCATCATCACCACCTGTTCTCCCAGACAGACACATATATGCCTCTGGCAGTAGTTATTAATTTATAGCAGTCTAAATGTAGTTATTGTGTGGCTTTTAAGATGTTGGTACATGGTTAATAGCTTAGAAAAAATAGTTTTGTGGACTAGTTTTAGAAATTGCATTTAATATCTATCTCTTAATAGAAGTGCAACTTTGGGAAAGTCATTTAATTTCCTCATTCAAAATAGGGGACATGGGTGTTGATCCGGTTTTATAGGACTGCTTGCTCTCTTCTGTGATACTTTTCTTGCTAACATGCCATGATTTTTATAGCTTATTCTGAGATTGTACCATTTAGGTGATGCAAATTCCAGTGTTCCCAAATTGTCAATGTTTGGGCCTGGTGAAGGCCATCCTTTAATGAGTTGAAAAGTAAGATGATTTGCCTTGAAACTATGAAACAAATACATAAGAGTCTGAGGGTTTTACATAATTACTAATTCCAACAAGGGCTTCATAAGTTTTGCAAAAGTCCTGGTGAGACATGTTTTTAAAGCTGCTTTCTAGCACCTTTACTTCCATCCTGGGAACCAAAGCTTCTTCCAACAGCTTGTGCTCCAAGATGATCCCACCTGCTCTTCTCATCCAGCATTCTTCTCATTCAACCAATGTTCTGAAGAGTCTGGCCCTTTATGGAGTGTTGGAATAATGAAAGACACAGTTCCTGAGATCAGGGGGCACACAGTATAGTGGAAACACCTGAAAAGGTCATTATTAAAGGTAAATGTGGCAAGTTACAGTAGATAGATGCAAAAATTCTACTTAGTACAGGAAAGATGGCAACTATCATAGATCTGATACAGGACAGAGTATGATGGAGGAAACAGGAAACACTAGAAGTGAGTCTAATAATATGAGCAAATATTGCCCAGAGCAAGGAGGAAAGAGGGCACTCTGCTTTTGGGGAAAAACTTTCCCAAAGACACAGAAGCAAGAAAGCATAGGCTGTTTGGTAACAGAATAAGCTGGGGTAGAGTTGGTATGATAGAGGCAATGAAGGACGACTTTAGCAAAAATGTGGTACACAATTCTACCAGGATTATCTGTCATCCTAAAGGTGATAAAATTGTTTAGTGATTTTATGTAGAGAAGTAATATAATTGTTATTTGTGAAAAGTGATCTAGCTACAGTGTGAGTGATGATGATTAGGGAGGGAGTTTATCAAAGTTAGCAAAACCTGTTAGGAGTATGGTTTTATTCCTTATAACAAATTTCAGGGGCCTAAAGAGTAAAACTTGTGTATATAAGAGTTTTAAAATAAATATTTGCCAAACAAATGAATTAACTTACCACTCTTACCAATGTATGATGATTTATTTCAGACTTCAACATAAAAATATGCTCTGAAGGAGAACGTTAAGTATATAAGCTGCAACAGCATTAAAGAGCAATTCTGATCAGTACTTCACCAGGGTCCTAGAATGGATACCACAGTAGAAGGATGATATGTGCGTATTTTTGTCAGAGTGTACATTTGTTCATGTATGCGCACTTCTTAACAAATGGAGGATGGAGGTAGGAATGGGAAATTAGTCAGTTAGAAATAATGTTCGCCTGGGCAAGCTTTGTATTAATTATCAAAGTTCATAAAGTAAGAAGGATTACATCAATAGAAAGTGACTCATACTTAAATGAGTTTTTTCATCCATAAGGCATCTAACAATAACAAATATCATGCTCACAAGTGAAGCCAAGTAATGCACAAACAACATAATTACAATGAATTTAGCTATGAATAAAGAAACACATAGATTTAATCCTGGGCATAGAAAAGACTACAAGATGACATTGTCTCAAAATAATTGCCAATGAAATTACATGGGTGGCTGTTGTATAGTCAGGCTTTTTGATTATAGGGAATTTATAAGAAATGAGCCCATTGATATTGTATTTGAATAGGCCCTTCCTAACTATTATAATTCATAACTTCTTTTGGTAAAACAAATATATAATTTTCATTTGTATTTTTCCAGAAGGAGTTGGAATTTCTTTGGGCTTGCAGTGGAACTGCTGATAAAGTAGATTTTAAAGAGCTGAAAATTTAGAAAAGCGAAGGCAAAAGATTGAGAGATATGAGCATGATTTAGAAATGGAGACAAAAGGTAGAGTGGAAATTAAAATTCTTCCAAGTTGTAGTATATGATTTAAATAGAGTGCAATTTCCATGAACCAGAGGAAAAAATCAATATAACAAGAGTTTGAAGTTTAAAAAAATGCTTACCCAGCATCTACTCCCTGGGTTACCCTGACCCTTTCCTTTTTGAGGTTGAGAAAGTGATGGGAAGTCCTGAAAGAACACTGCTTTCTCTCAGGGAAATGCTATGAGGATTAAGAACTGCTTAATAGTTCATGCTAATAAATTGCTGTACATAAGAATTCAATATCCCCAGGCTTTGTAAATGAAGGAAAATTTTAATATCAGCCTGAGGGATTTTTTTTTCAGTCAAATTTTTACTTTTGGAACATGTGGAATTCAATATGCATGGATTCAATAAAAGCACATGTCACTGCATTTTGGATATAATGAAGCAAAAAGGAACAATGTTTCCAAGTGAGGAAGTCTTCCAGTTTATATTTCATCAAAATTATATTACATTTGGTTGTGGTGCTACATGAATTTATCTCCAAACATTGTATTAGAACAGATTTTTTTTTCTCCATTCCCTTCTCAAGTTATGAGGTTCATTGTAAAGGTTTTAAAGAACTAAAAATTATACTTGTAACATTTTCTTTACAAGGATAAGTATTTCCTTCTTTTTAATCTGGGGAACATATGTAACTATAAAATAATATCTTAAAACTTCTCATAATTGCATAAATAATCTTGCTAATACAAGGGGAACCTTGGATTCTTCTGAAATTACACCAGGACTATTTTAAGAACACTTGGAAAGATTATTTCCTGGGGTGCCTGACAGTTTTCTTTAGAACTACTGCTTTGTAGAAAAAGTAGTAATTGTTAAACCTTTCTGCATGAAGCATACAATTTTTCAAATGTACCCTGCATAGGTATATTTTAAGAAAGATTTCAATTTGGTTGCATAATATCAGCCTTTGCTAGGCCCATGGTGATGATAACATTGAAAAATAAGTTGGTATGCTGCTTGTTCTCCTACTGCTAAGATTTTATTACAAACTGCTAGTTTGCTAGAGATTATAGCTGCTAAAAAGCTCTCCTGATTAATGTGATAATTAATTAATGCAGCTGCTAAATTGTAATGCTGATTAAAATACACCACACAGAGAATACTGGAAAACCTCCCTGAATTAGTCAATCATTCCAGGTGCATTTCAACCCCAGAAAAATTTCAAATGCTGGACAGAATAGGAGATCTATTGCTGCTTATTGGGGCAACAGAAAGATCTGTTAGTCGAGTGCACATTTCTTTAACTTTAATCCTTAAGTTGACTTCATGTTCAGAACCCAAAGATGAAGCATAGAGAAGAATTTGGACAATCTGTTTTTGTTTTCTAGCATTTTACTTTTCTCTAGTAATTATGAGAGTGGCTCTAGTCTGAAATTTTACAAAGACATGAAGGAGTTTATAATGCATGTGATATGCATCAAGTTAAACCCCAACCTCAGACTTAGCTTGGTTGACTCTATGGAAGTTTGGGGTAGTAGAATTTCCTTCAAGGTGATTCCAACAGGAATTTGTAAGAATTTATCACACATAGAGTGTTGTAGGTAAAAACACAGATATTTTTTTACTTTAAGAACTTCATCTTACAATTTTGGAAAAAAGGACTATAGCTTAACAATGTTTGCCATTATGAGGTAACAAGTGAATAAATACCAGGTCAGTGGAGTCAATGTTAAGAATTATAGGAAAGTAAACAATTTGCATTTATAGTATATTTTCTCCATTGAAGTATAAACTAAAATAAGCTTGTGAGGATGGAAGGATTTTTACCGATGAATTGCTAGTCATTTAGCATGGAGCCTGAAAATGAATGAAGTTTAGTTAGGTAGATAAAGATGAGGATAAACTGAGGAGACCCAAGAAGGATTCTGAGAGGGAGACCCAGCAATGACAAGTTAACAGGAGCCAGTGTAAGACAGGCTTTGAATTTTGGGCAAAGCCAGGCCAATGAAGTGCTAATCCTTTGGAGAAGGAGAATGACTTGCTTTGAATATCAATCTGTCTGCAATGAGAAGACTGAGTTGCATGAGGTAAACACTGGAGAGAAAAAGATACATAAGCTTTTCTAGAAATCCATGTAAGTTATTTTTGACATA